TGCAATTCTTTATTAAGCAAATGTATCAAAACTTTTATTTACTCAAACTAAAAACAGTTTAACTATAGAAATGAATTACCATTTATTTTGATGTTAACTCTTTAAGTATTCTGTAGTATTATGAGTAGTATTTGTGGAACAATGCATTAAAATATTCATTTCTTTAATAATTGCCTCTAAAGTAACAAAAATAATTCTAATGCCTCGTTCAACATGTGTATATAAGAGAGAGACAAAAAGAAGGGGAAAAGAAAAACATGGAGAAAGTGTTTGGAGACAAAAAAATCATGAAAAGGAGAAATAACAAGGATATTCAGCAGATATGCACATGTGCACGTGCTGACAAAGACAAGGAAAAGAAACTCAAGCTAACACCAATAATTAGAAAATCCCAACAACCACATAAATTTCATCAAACTTAGCATAAAGTAAATGAATGAAAATGAAAAAAAATGGCAGTCAATTTCTGAAACCATCTGAAAAATAGACTGAACTATTACAAAAAAGTTAATTTATGAAATTCTTGAATTGAGGTGCTGATATAACATCAATCAGCTAAGTGACAAATTTTATTTCTATTAATCTTATATATATATATATATATATATATATATATATATATATATATATATAATATTAGCGGTAAATATACACTTACATATGCAATTGGGATATTAAACATGTTAAAAATCACTACACAATTCTTTCCAAATCCTCTGTACTGTCCTCAAATTGACACTCAAACACTCTGAAATGTTCATATTGGAGCTTCCAGTGGGAATGCCAAGCAGTACAGCATGTCATTTGCAAATTTCTGGCAGAGTGAATTGCGTCATGGTGTTCTTTTTCTCACAGGTGGTGCCCAACTAATCTTACTTTACTTTTACTTTAGTCAATGAAATCAAAAACAAACAACGCGCATGTGTAAATTAAAAATATAAAATGGCGACAATTTACCCATTGCTCCCTGTAGTCTGAGAGATGCTGGAAATTTTAAATTTAAAAGTAATTTTTTTATATACGTGTTTTGAGTATTTAATCTAAAATTCATTTAGATTCTTTTTCTTTTTTTGTTTCCATCACTTTTGTTATTAAATATCCTACACTGTGATAAGAGATGACCTGCCAAGAATGGTGAAATATTGTAAGGACCTGGACATAAATTTACTGTTGACAGTCTAGTGATTAAAGCACTTTCTAAACATTTTTGTCTTAGTGAATTGTTTCCTCTTTTAATTTAGAGTAGCATTTTTTATATCACGATTGTGGTCAGTCACGTTAGGGTGAACAACTAATAAATTTAATCTGTTGTTTTGTAAAAGATCCCTTTTGTGTCCATATAATCTTTTATTTAAATTTCTTGAATTTTCTCTGATGTATTCTTTATGGCAATCATTACAATTGTAGTGTAAATTCCTTCTTCAAGTTTTAGCTTATTGTTTTGTTTTGTATTGATTATGTCTTTTATTATTTTAGATGTGATTGTGATAAATTTTATGTCGAGTTTAGAAAAAAATCTTTTCAATTGTAGTTGTGATAGTGTTAGTGGGTAGAACAATATATTTTTTGATTCATTTGGTTTGTCTGGAGTGGCTGCTTTTCTATTTTGGAATATTTTATGAGCATATGATGAAATGCTAAATGATGAAATGTATCACATAAAAACTTTTTCCACTTTGTCATGTATCTATATATATATGTGTGTGTGTGTGTTGGTTTTACCAATACTTTAATTTGTTGTAATATATATATATATATATATATATATATATATATACACACACACACAGACACATGTACACATACATGCAAACACGCACACACATATATAAATGGGGATCAAATACTGATCATATATGTATCAAATATGGATTGCAATCCAACAGAATGATAGGATAAGAAACAAATAGGAAATAAAGACGAATCCTGCTAGATTTATAAATGTTTCCTATTTGTTCCTTGTGCTATCATATATATATATATGTGTGTGTGTGTGTGTGTGTGTGTGTGTGTGTGTGTGTGTGTGTGTGTGTGCGTGCACATGTATTAGTAGGACGTTTAATCATTAATCATTTGATGATAGCTTATGTAAGCCGAAAGCTTAGATAGGATTGAAAAACATGTATCAATATGGTGATTTTCTTTCATCTTTCAATGATAATGTTATTAAGCTTATCAGATGATATGAAAGGAATTTGCTTAAAATAAATAGACAAAACTTGTCTATATTATTTAATGAAAAATGCATCAATGAAAAAATGCTGCCTAGATACACACAATATATATATATCTCACTTCGCCTTCTCTCCCCCCTCAACAACTTAAAAATCAATGAGAAAAAAGTTTAGGAAAATAAAAAAGATTACTAGATGTAGAATGAATTACTCTTTCAATGTACTTTCTATGAATTTTTTCCAATCGATCAACAAACATCAAATTAAATTCTCCGTAGATTTTGTAGACATTTAGATATATATATCAAACTTTAACCCCCAAATATACCCTTTAAAGGAATGCGAAATGACAACGTCCAAGAAATTAAGTGAAACATTCTCTCATCAGGATTGTTTTATTGTATCTTCTTCCTTTTATGTCGGCTTTCCTTTTCACCACTTAGCCATCCATATCTAAAGATAACATAAGTTAAGTGAAGCGTTTGTCTATCCCACACCAAGTGGGGTTAGGGATAAAGAATTGAAATGGTACATCTAACTCACTCATGTCTTCTCTCCCACCTCACTTCCTCACTTCGCCTTCTCTCCCCCCTCACTTCCTCACTTAGTTAATTTACTTAATACGGGGCCATCAAAAATGAGTAAATTTCTTTTCATTTTTCATTTCAACCTTTGGAAGTAAAGTCTGATGATCCAGAGCCATTTAAAAGGGCTGTGGTGAAATAATTTATTACATGGAACCTTAAAGTGGTCTGTTTTTTATTCAAACATATTTGCTCTGAATTTACATTGAGCTCTCCGGATTTCATCCTCCTTGGGTCTACCCATACAGATTACCTAGTTTTGCATAAACTATATATATATATATATATATATATATATATATATATATATATATATATATATATATACTGCTATTATAATGTGGGATATTTAAAAACAACAAAGATGAAAACAAGAATAAAAACAGTAAAAAGTTGAATGAGGTCAGCTAGTTTGTGCAACACATCAGATGCCTGAAAGTTAAAATTTAAATTTAGAACTGTGTGTTCAGTGTTCCTCTCAATGTATAACTATAAGTAATATATTGTTATATTTTATTCCCTTTCTCCATGTGTGATTCCACTAGTAAAAACATTATTTAGACTGAAGAAGTCCTTTCAAAGACTGAATTGCATCACATAGGATATTTTTCCATTTTCTCATTCAATTACCCACCATATAAACTATCAATATTTATTTATCCTTGGACTTAGTAAATACAGCAGTGTTTACCAACCTTTTTTTTTTTTATTTCAGAGCTGTGCAGTTAGAGAATAACTAAAACTTTTTCAATTTTAATAAGAAAAAATTAGTCATGAAATTTAAAAATAGGAAAATAATAAAAATGTCTCCTGAAATAAGCATTTATTTTTAAGACATTACATTGTATATTTAAGTATGCTTGTGTGAAAACTGTGCTTGAAGTGTTTTGGTAACTTTTTTGAATGATAGACCTTATATGTTATGCCTTGAGAAAAGCAAAGATGAAAGGTTTATCCCCTCCTTATTAAAGATTAAGGAATTTAACAATCCAGTTTAAAATATCAAATGACAAAGACTTGACTTAAATATAGAAGCCATGTGCCTCGTGTCTCTAGCTTATTTATAAATAAAAATTTTTAAATATAAAAATAATTCTTCTGTTAATTTGAGGCACATCTGGCTATCTTGCAGAGCGCATCAGTGTGCCAGAGCACACCAGTTGAAAAACACTGACTTACCGACTGAAATATTAAAAAAAAAATTCAATGAGTGTGGGCATGTTATAAAATCAACCAAAGCAAATTTAACTTTGCACAACACTACAATTGTAGGGAACACAGTGAGAATCAATCCCACTACAATAAAAAAAAAGTCTGCAAGACCAGCTTGATAACCATTGTGCAATGGCAAGTCTCTCTTTATGGTATTTACACTGCTTAGTCTGACACAAGGCTACAAATGTTGGGCAAGATTGGACTTACTACAGAAGTAATGATCTGCAAGGTTAGCCTGCTAACCATTGTTCCATGGGGAGGCTCCTTTTTAATATTTATTAAGTTCAATATAGTCTGACACAAGACCAATAAGGTTTAAATTCATTACAATAGTTTGCAGGTGCTGAAAATTTCTTGACCTGACCCACTTCTCCAAATCAGACTGAATAATCAAAGAATTTATGGTTGTTGATAGGAGCTAATTAGCCTTGGTTGGTAGCCTGTCTAAAGGAGGGATTTCAAAACCGGGTTACATGTGAGTCAGCTTGATGACAATCCTTCAAGTGGCCAACTGCTTCATCCTTGTAAATAGGGTGGATGAGCAGTGACTTGATAGCCAGCTTTTGAGTAATGGTCAGAAGAAATCACTTTTTTTCCCCCGGTGAGAATTGGGGACTAGGACGTGGGAGTGGTGCAATGGATAGTGACCCAGAATAAATCAGTTAAGTTCGTTGCATTCACTTTCACACAAATACTTTTGGGAAAGTATGAATCCATCTCTTCTCTCCTTCCAGTTATGATTGATTGACTGATTCATTTTTTTTATGGTTTATCAACCAATTGCAGGTTATTTAAAGCCAGAAAATATTTTTAGATTGTAAGAATTAAAATTTTTTTTTAGATAACAATGGTTTACTGACACAAGTCTTACTAATTAACCCATAGCTGGGGAGAAAAAGTGGATTCATGCTTTTTCTAGAGGCATTTGCATGTAAGTGAATATAACAAGCATGATAGGAATTGGAACTTGGCTCTCTAATTAACAATGAGCCATTATCCATTACACTATTTGTACATCCAAGCTCAGAGCACCTGGTATTCCCAAGTGGTCACCCATCTAGATACTGACCAGGCTCGATGTTACTTAACTTCAGTGATTGGATGGGAACTGGTGTTTTAATGTGATGTGTTCCAGCTATGAGTTATAATAACATGGAAGACTGTTCAGCACCCCACCATTTTGTATAATCACTCTAACATAGTTTTACATAGTATTAACATCAATGTTACATTGTAAGTTTTTAATTTGTTTATAAAAAGATGCTTTCTGAATGTAAATATTTTTTTTTATTTTGTCTTTGCCAGCTGCCCTGTGTCAAAAGTGGTATGATTTTCATTCACTGTGGCTGTGTAAAAGTGAAAAAAAACTGCTCACCCAAAGCTGGCCTTGACACCAAAAGATTTCCACCGATGTGTGTCAGAAATGTTTATTCAATTAAACAATTACTGGGATTCTTCCACTCTTTTTGAAAACATTTGATTTTTTTTTCTTAATAAAATAAGTGTTTTTTCTTTAAAGATATCTGTCTTGTAAAATTTTTTTCTTTTTCTTGTAAGATTTTTTTTTGATTGATTGATTTATGTTTTATGACTTATTAACCTTTTGCTGGTTATTTGAAATCTGGAAACATTTTTTTTAAACTGAAAGATATTTTTGAGATAATGATTTACTGATATAAGTCCTATTAATTAACCCATAGAAGTAGATTCATACCTTTCATGAGGGTATTTGTGCATAAGTGAATATAATGAAAATAACTTGAATTGAAACTCTTCTCTATGATTTCCAATTATGAACTGTTATCCATTATACCAGCCACACATCCAAGTATTCTGGTATTACCATTTTATGCAGAGAATGGTCAGCCAAACACTTGTGAATCTTGGAGGCAGTGTATATAACATTATATCGACTGTCTGTGTGTAGACAGAAAGAAAATTTTGTTCATTCTCTGTTTCTGTTAGGAGGGCTGTGAGTAAAAAATTTTTCTATTTTATACTCAGTAGGAACTGATATATTTTGGTGTATTGCCATATTCCTCTTTTTGTTCCCCTAGTTTTAGTAATAAACTAGCAGTAGAGCCCGGCGTTGCCCGGGGATATAACAGTAAGAGATAGATCAAGTATCCACCATCATAAAGACTGAAAAATAAAATTGACAAAGATTATTGTTTAAGGTTGACAGACACGCATGTCTTAATTAGTTTTTTTTTTTTTTTTTTTTACGAATTGGTCAAACCCAAACTCAAACAAGAACATTATTTTCAATCGTTATGAGTCTCCCGATTGAATAGAATTTTATTATAAATAATTGTCTTGTAAATGGAATTTTTAAAAGCATTCTGAATGTTAAAAATAAAGAAAAGTGTGCAAGAGAATAAGAAACACTACCTGCCAAAAAAAAAAAAAAAAAAGTGAAGTTTTGTTTTTTCGGCTGAAAAATATAGGAAATTCGCTCCCATATTTAAAGGAACCCATACACACACACAAACAGCCCGATGTGAGTTGTCCCCCATCCATTTTCACGATGTCTCTTAATCGTGTTTTCAAATTGATTTTGTGCAAAAACAATTATATTTTTCCCATTTTTAGCGCTGTTAGAACCACCACAAGGTAATTTTATGTAGTCCTGTGAAGTTTTGTTGAAATCGGTTGAAAAATGTAGGAAATCGGATCCAATATATAAACGTTACAGACACACACACACACACACAATCTGCGTTTTATAATAAGTAAGATTTCAATTTTAGTTGTGGTACCTCATTTAATCCTCCTTTATATACTTGGGTTTCGCTGTACACTCAAGCAGCTTCTTCTGGTAAACAACTTCCCTGTGGAACCAACTCCTAACAAGATGTTTCCCTGATCACTACAACCATAACCAGTTCAAGCTCAGGTTAACCACTATCTCCTACTCCTATACACACAAATGGCCTCCTAATATAACCCTCTGCCTTGAGTGGCCCCGGGGCCTTGTAAAGGGTGAACCTTACTGTAAAAAAAAAATGTAAATCCAATATTTTTATATACCAGAAATTGTTGAGTTGCTTTACAAAAACTGTTTTTCATTTTTTATAGTCCAGTTTTTTTTTATGAAGACAGCTTTGTACAACAGGGAACAGACAAAACACAAGAAGATTTCTTAATTACTTTTACTCAGACTATTACATCTGGATGCTACTCATATAATCACTTGAACTGTTTGGACTCAAACTAGTTGATAAGTTGTCCTTATATTTATACCTCATGCTCAAACATCATATGAGACACAAAATGCACACAAAAATTTGACAGAAAAATACATGGCTCAGTTTGAAAATGTGTTACATGAAGAGTATAAAATTTCTAATTTAGTAACTATACATGCTTAAAAGCTGAAACTTTGCATATTAATAATTTGACATATTTTCAAATACTGTACAAATTTTATCTTTCTCTATAAATTATAATTAAATTTTATTATCAGCAAGAATATTGTATCGCTATTGTTCAAAACAGAAAGTCTACTTCAACTCTATACTCCTAATGTCTGTGCCTGGAATCTGAAATTGTATTCACTAATTATTTATTTTATTTTTTTTCTCCCCCACCAATAGGAATAGATAGTTTCACCTATCATCCAGTTCACATGCTTCCCCAATGTTTCAAACAGGAGTAGAAATTTATCCCTTGTTTCCTGTTTAGATTTGGGTTTCTGGTTCTTTCTAAAGTCTACTTCACCAGTTTGTTATTCATTAATTAAATTTTGACCTCATCAAGTCTACAGTTAGCTGTTATTTTTCCTACATAGTTCCAAGAACTTCAACAGCACACAGTAACCCTCTACCTTGAGTGGCTCTTGGTCCTGTATTGGGTGAACATTAGTAAAAAAATAAACAAAAAGATTCATAATTTTCAATAATTTTTTTTTTTTATTTTGCCTGAAACTAATTAAAATTAGCCTAATATAATTTGAATCTGACTAATTTGTTTGTTTTAAAATCTTAATTTATACAGAGTTTTTATTTTTCATTTACAAACAATACTGTCTCCTTGCCATCATATCAGTGCACTGGATATAGTAAAAATAAAATATATGAGATGTAAAGTACCTTTATCATAATAAAGACAAAAAAATTTCTTAGAGTTTTTTTTTCTTAAAATTTGATTATCTAATATTGAATTTAATGACATCAGAAGACCAAAATGAATTTCATTATTGACCAGACAAAATTTCTAGTCATTTTGATCCTTAGAAAAATGATATCAGAGATGATCTGAGAAAAATAAAAGGATTTTAATGACTGTACTTTGTCATTTGCTTTCTGATTAAAGTGAAAGCTTCTCATCACCTGGATTTAATATGACTAAAGTATTGAATAGGGATATAATATCTAGAAAATGGAACAACACTACATCTAACCAGACAATATTATTTATGTTTCAACATATTTTTTTCTCAGCCACTTCATATATGCCTCATTTTGTTTATATCTATTTATTTATTCATAAGTATGTATGTATGATTATATATTGATATGTCCCGGAAAGGGATATATTTGTTCAAAGTAGCAAAGTGGTTGCTGACTACTGTAACCGGGTAGGACAATGTAGCAGGTAACCGTAATGGACTGGTCTTCATCGTAGTGGTAGGCAATAGGCGTAGGCAATAGGCGAAGACAATAGGTGTAGTTCATGTACCTCCACATCAGTCTGTATTTATGGCTGACACCAGCCAATCATATTACTGTGAGGGGGAACCCAGTTGTATGCATATTCATTACATCATATATATATATAGTATAGTAATCGACTCTCCCGAGATTCGACGTATGAGGGTCAAGCAGATCAGTTTCCAGAAACCGACAGCCCGACACCGGCACATGAGATTTGATTATAGTGGTGAAGGCCTGGGTGCAGGACCATCCACACTTTTTGAAGGGCCGAATACAGAGACCTGGTGCACTAAATTGCCACAAGGTCCCCAAACGACCCTCCGCAGTTTTGAATTCACATATATATATATATATATATATATATATATGAAGAAAAATTTGGAAAAAACAAACAAAAATCCTTAAATGCAATTATGTTGTTTAAAATGAATGAAATGTCGACGTCTGACGTTTCGGTTTAATAAACCTTTTTCAAGACAATATTCATTAAAATACAATTCAGTTCAATTTGACAAAGACGATGGACAACAAGTCTTATCCAAAACAGATAACTGAAAATTTTTAAAATGATCAGCTTTCCATTTAGCATGGTCACGTTGTCGTCACATGAGCGATGCTTTCAAAACATATTCCTAAAAATTTTTGATTATTTTGAATGAAAAAGAAAATGAAAAGAATTCTATTAGGATCTAAAATTTTTATGTGTATGCTTGTCGAGCACCAATCTCGCTAAAAAAAGGGGAAATATTAAAGAAACTTTTTATATACGGAACCATCATATAGCCTGATGTGCTTTAACCAACTGAGCCACAGAGGATCGTTCGGTTAGCAAGGTTGATTTTACTGCTCTTAAACTACAATCTTCCATGATTCTCTCACATACATTCATATCTGCTCAAAGCATATCCAAATGTAAACAAATATATATCTATCTATATATATATATATATATATATATATATATATATAGATAGAGAGAGAGAGAGAGAGAGAGAGGTGTGTGTATGTTTTAAACGATGTTTAACAAACTAAAATATCAAAAAGTAATTAAAAAATAATCAACAAGAAACTATTGTTTTTTAATCAATAAATGAAAAAATCAATAATCAATAAATTAAAAATTGCTATCGAAATACACCCAATTCATATATATTGAAGATATATTTTATAAAAATATATATATATATTAAATTGATATATTTATATTAAATATTTTAAAAATATATATTAAATCTATATATAAAATATATATATAATTAAACATATATTAAATTTATATATACATTAGATATATATTATATATATATACATTAAACATATATATTAAAATATATTAAATCTACATATATATTAAATATATAATTAAACATATATATAAAACATATATTAAATATATTAAATATATATATAAACATATATTAAATATTAAACGTATATATTAAATATATATTAAACATATATATAATATATAAAAACATATATATTAAATATATATTAAACATATATATACATTAAAATATATAAAATATACATTAACGTATATTCATCAAAGATATATATTTATTAAACTTATATTAAATATATATACATTAAACACATATATATATATATATTTACATTAAACATGTATATTACACTTACACCTCATCTCAAAATATAGACAGATAATGTATATATTAATTAAATACATGTATTAAATATATATATATATATATTAAATTTATATAATTTAAATATATATATTAAATTTATATATAAATATATATACATTAATATATAAATTTAATTTATATATATATATATATGTGTGTATTAGAAATATACGTGTATTAAAAGCACACACACACACATATGTGTGTGTGTGCTTGTGTGTGTATTAAATAAATCGTTAAAAATGTGTGTAATACCCAATGACATTTTTTTATATTCAGTTGAAATTGTAGAAAGCGTGATTAAAAAAATAGTCGTTTCGCTTCAATTTTCTAGTATTTTTTTTATTTTATGCGTTTTAAATTAATTAATAAAATGATTTAAAAATTTTCTTATTAAAATTTTAAAATAAATAGTGAAGACGAGATTTAAAAAAGAAAAAAAATTTCTAATTTTTAAAAAAAAAAAAATAACGTGTTTTTTATGACTAAAAGATGACAAATTATTAAAAAAAATGCCAGTATTTATCACAATAAAGAAATGAATAAAAGCAGACACTTAGAACAACGTTTAAACGATTTTATTTCAAACTGAAAAAATTTTAAAACAGAATCGCGCTTCATGTAGGCGTTTAATTGACGAAATATAGTAGCAGTCGTCAGTAATCCCATTTTACTGTTGAAATCTAAAGACTTGCATAAGTAGTGAACCTCTGGTGCTTTACTCGCTTTAACATAAACATCGCGCAAAAAAGGAGTGATTATAACTTCCGATTCTATTTGTGAAAATATACAGTTTGGATGAGAGGCGAATAGCATTTAATAAGAATTTTTTAAATAAAAAAAAAAAAAGATTAGACATAGATAAACAACGCTTCGGAAAGACGTATCTGCATGCTTTTTTTTTTCTCCCTTCATTCAAAAAGGAAACGAACTCAACGAACATGGCCTCTGACCCGTCGGCATGATATCACCAAGAAAATAGTGCACACTAAAAAAGACACAAAGCCATATCATTAGACGGATTATTTTGTTAAATTTTTGATTGAAAATAGCTTTTCTGTGTTAAATACATAAAACTGTCGTGTTTTTAAAATGATTTTGAACGCAAAATCAACGTCGGCTGCGGAGCTGTTTGGGCGTTTGCGCTGTGTTCAATGTAAGGGAGAGAGGCAAGTGACTGAGACAAAATGGCGACCTTTGAAAATGACGAGCTGAATTAGATGTCTACGCAAGTTGTTTTTTTTTCCTGTTTTCTTGTTTTTGAGTAATGAAACGACAGCAAGACAGGGACATCTCACCTCGAAACAAACGACCCCGAGGTAGTTATGTCTCTAGTGATCACGACGTTAACAGAAACCCACTGACCCCGGACATGGATAGACGTACAGCAGTAGGTACCAACAATTCTGGTAGTAGTAATAATAATAGTAGTAGCACTGGTGCCGCCACTGGTAAGGTCCTTTCAACGGGTGGGGCCCCAACCACTATCAACCGAGGTGGAACTACAGGAAAATCTTACCGAACTAGCTATGATCACAATTTGGATCATTCCCGGAAGCCATACAGAGACGACAGATTAGGTGGCGGCGTCAGTAGCGACTATGTCCACCACAATTCGTCATCATCGTCGTCGTCTTCGTCTCGGACAACGGCAGCCGTTGAGAACAGACAGCCGCCACCGCCCCCGAGTTCTACCTCGATATTGGAAATGTACCGGTCATTATGTATCAGCAACCTCAACCCTAAAATATCTGAAACAATACTCATAGAATCTCTTCATCGCGAATTCGAACGATTTGGTGCATTTAATATCCGGATGTCTTACTCCGGCGACCAGATGGTTGCCTACATCAATTTTCGATACCCTGAAGATGCCCGCAATGCCAGACACGGAAAATCGGACCTAGTTCTGTTCGACAGACAATTACGTGTGGAGCCCGTTTTGAACAACAGACGACGCGGTGATAGCCCCTCGGGTACAGAGTATGTCCCTAGGATAGGGCCCCTGGTCAGTGGCACTGGTTCTGATCGGTTCATAAACCGAAGTATTTCACCTGGACAACAGCAACCGTCACTCGCTGGACCCGGACGGCGAACTTCACGTAATATGAACCCGCCTCGCGACCTCTCTAGGGAGAGGGAGTACCTTTACTCTGATTCGAGGCACGCGAATATTGATAAAAATACACCCAACCAGCGCCACCCGTCTCCAGAGACAGAGGAAAAAGCCACCAGGACGTTATTTGTGGGTAATCTGGACCATAATGTTTCCGAAAATGATCTAAGGAGACATTTTGAACGGTTTGGTGTCGTCGAAGATGTTGATATAAAGAGACAACAGAGAGCACAAGGAAATTCTTATGCTTTTGTTAAGTTCATCAACCTGGACTGTGCCCAAAGGGCTAAAGTTGAGATGTCAGGTAAGCACATAGGTAAGTTTCAGTGTAAAATTGGTTATGGAAAAGTTACTCCCACTACTTGCCTGTGGGTCGGAGGACTAGGCTCATGGATCAATTACCAAACCTTGTATCGTGAGTTTGACCGCTTTGGGGCAATTAGAAGCATCGTGTGGACACGGGGGAAAACTTATGCCTATGTTTTATATGACAGCAAAGATGCAGCCCAGGCTGCATTTCAAGAAATGAGACGGAATCCGTTTGGGGAGAAGGAATTTTCTCTTCGAGTCGACTTTTCAGATTCAACCCACATTGCTTTGTCTTCGCCACCATCACTCGACGAAAAATATGAAACTGCTGACCACATAAGAACCTATGCAACAGTTCCATACGGGTGCAGTGGAGATCAGCGACGATCAGACGGGTTTGTAGACCTCCACAGCTCGAACAAGGTCCGTCCACGTGATCACTGGCACCCACTGGAATCTGACCCCATCAATGTTTTCCGCAACCCGGACAATCCGCGTGATTTTGAGCACCGCGGTAGCCGTGTTGACCAAGTTGATAGATCGATCAGTGTCCACGGTGACCGTCGCAAAAGGGGCCACTCTCCTGTGGATGATTTTGATAACCAGAAAAGATATCGTTCACACAGCCGGGAACGACTCACCACTTATAGGAACAGAGACAATGAGATCCGTGATCACAATAATAAACTGGGGATAAAAATGGTACAGGAACAGCAACAACAACAACAGCAACAGCAGCAGCAGCAACAACAACAGCAGCAGCAACAGCAACAACAACATCTGGGTGAGAATTTTCACGAGAAGGATGTTCGAAATATGGATGCTATCAAAAAAGCTCGACCACCAACCGAGAAGGAGCTCAGTGTTGCTGAGCATGTCAACAATCTTGTTGACTTAGCCAAATGTCTGCCAGTTGCCTGGAATGGAGCACTGATCTTAAAAAACAGTGCCTTTCTTGCTCGCATGCATGTGGTCAGTGGGGATGTGACCATTGTGGACACTTTGATGAGAGATCCGACTACTACGGAAACCTCTGTTCTGCGTATCACACAGAGACTACGGCTGGACCAGCCTAAACTTGAGGAGGTTGGTAGACGGGTCAGCTCATCTGGGTCCCACGGACACTGCATCTTGTTGGCATTACCAAGCACTTTGCCGAACTATGAAGTTGGACAGGCCCAACAAAGACCCTTAAAGAATTTGGTTAGCTATCTCAAGCAGAAGGAGGCTGCTGGCGTGATATCTTTACCCCCAAATCCATCAAAGGATAAAGAGAACGTTGGAGTTCTTCATGCATTCCCTCCATGTCAATTTGGTTACAACTTCCTTCTGAGTTGTGCCCCCAAATTACCCACTGAACCAATCAAGGAAGATTATTTAGTTGTGATTGTTGTTCGGGGAGCCACCTGAGATGATGATAATAATGTTGTTGTAGATGATGCAAAGATTTCCACAGTAGTTGATGCTTCTTGGCTATTTTGCATTACACACAAACACACAAACATGTATACATACATACATACATACATATATATATATATATATATATATATATATATATCTCCACAAAAGAATCATCGTCCTATTCTTTTTTAAAAACTATATAATACAATTTGACTTCTAAAATTCTTTAAAAGAAGGAAAAAATTTTTTCAGATTTAAAAAAAAAATCACAAAACATTCATTTTTACTTACATTTCATCAAAAAGATGGTTTTGAAAAATCAGTGTAAAGTGGGTTGAATATAAAAAACAATCAACAAAATATTGTTAAATGTATTAAAGTTTTCAGTGAATTTTATTAGTAAAAATATATACTTGTGCCAAAAGCAAAAAAGGAACTTCTCCCCATCATTTCCCAGCATCCTGAAATGAAATCAGTTTTAAAAGTTGCAAAAAAAAAAAAAAAAAAAGCAGAAAGTCTCATAAAAAAAACAAAAAATATCCATTTAGAATTGAAAAGTTGGAGATTTGAAGTTTTTTACTTACCTACTTACCATTTCCCTGCCACACACACATTCAAACACCAAGGAACTAAACCTTGAATAAACTCAACACTTCTTTTATTAAATCTAATCTAAAAAAAAAAAAAATGGTCTCTACCTCAGAGAAATTTCTCCTTTTTAAACAATCACTTGTTTTTCTTTTCAATTTTTTATTTTAAGTTTGCCATAGTTTCCCTTAAATTTGATATTCTTTAGAAATCACCTATTAATATGGGTGTGTCCTTGATTTTCTCTTTCCTTTTCTTTTTTTTTTTTCTTTTTAATCTTCAATTTGTCTTTTTTATTTTTATTTTTCTTACAAATATCTTTTTCATCAGCCAGAGTGATGACCAAAAACAAAAACAAAACAAAAGCACCTTTCATCTCTCTCTCTCCCTTCTTGATAGTCAAAGAATGGGATTCTGCTGACAACTGTTCAGGACTGGCCACTTTGGAAATTCAGGTAAGAAGCACAACTTTCAACCCACCTTATTACACACACACATATATATATATACACACATGTATTTTTAAGAAAGTTTTTTTTTTTTTAACTTCATCTTGTTCAAGCCAAGAAGGAATTCCTCATTTATTTCCCTCTGACCCACCAAAAAAAAAGTGAAGGGAGACAAATTGGAATTGAAACTTTCAATTCAGTCTTAAATTGCACTATTTGTTAAAAAAAACAAATATCACTTCCTTCAAGATGAGGTTTAATATGTTAATTAATTCTTTCAAATAAAGTGTGGAATTCCTAATATATAAATAAATATATACAGTTTTGGAAAGTTATAATTTTAAAAAACTTTTATACATTTCTTATTTTTTTCTCTCTCTGTAGATCTTATCAACAAATGTTATATTTTACCTAATTTTTTAAAAGTATATAAGCAAAAAGATGTTCTGTTAAAAAATAAATCATGTTTATTTTTTATTTACTTGCATCTTTCAAATAAAACTTACAAAAGACTTTCTTTCTTCAATTATTGTCTTAATTAATCTTCAAATAGGATCAAAATATTTTAAAAAGCTTCTTAAACTTAAGATTTCCTTAGGATTTCTCTTGTTTATTATTTAATGAGTGGAAAACTAAGAAATTACATGCCTGTACTCTTAATCAACCTCATAATGTTTAATACTATGCTCTCCTCTTGTATATATATATATATATATATATATATATTATATATATATATTTTTGTATTTTTTACAAATTTCTGTTGAAAATAATAATAATGATGATGATGATATTAGTCTGAAGTAAGTTTTGGGAATACAAGGAAAGTTTGTTCTTCCAAATAGCCAGTCATATTCTTAAATTTAATTTCAAAATATCAAGTTGTGAAAGTAAACATGCTTTAGTAAAATATAAGTAAATATCAGATTTTACACTGATGTGACATAAAAATCATTGCTTATTCTATAATAATATATTCATCATTTTGACGGCTTCTGCTTTGTGAAAGGTGATGTAGTCATGCATTGTAATAAAATGACTATTTTCTGTATGAATTTTTGGGATGAGGAGTTATCATTTGCAATCAGACTAATGCCTCATCTTAATTATCATCATCACAATGTTTTGGCTGTTGTGCCCTCTAACCTTCCCTGGGTGTCTGTCGATGCAGGTAACTTTCAGGGAATTTTTAAACTGGATGAGCAATAAATGAGCAGTACTAAATAAGAACAAGATGCTACGTCCCTGGACAGGGACAGTGAAACAAGAACAATATAGAACCATAAATTAGATAAAAGGTTCAGTTTAAAATTCTGTTAAAGCATACCTGGAGCGAACAACAGCCAAAATGTTGTGACATTAGATTGAATGTATATAATGTAAATAACTATTCCTTACTGTTCCTTATTGAATATGAGACTGAATTTATTTGATATATAAGATTTTTTACAATGTATTTCTAAAATTAACATTTATATCATTTAAAGTAATTTATAAGTTATACATGTAGATACAAGTTGGTATATAGGTTGTCTTACTTGATGAGTGACTTTTCAATTTTTACTTCTGTTCAATAAGAAACTCAAAACTATTATAAATTGCATCTAAATTTGCTCATGTTGAGTGTTTCATTATAGGAAGGTGAGATGAATTATCATATTTTTTTTTCTTTCTTATCTGTACTTAGCCAATTGTGTCAATTTTTTTTGTTTCTATTATTTTATCTATTTTGTATTGAACTTTGTTTTTTTTTTTCTTCTTTTACTTAATAGTTTTATTGTTTCTATTTTTAGGGACCAGCTATTAGCAGTCTGCACATAGACAATAAGTGCATTTTCCACTTCTGATGGTGTCCCTTTCTTCACTGAAGCCAGAACACCTGCTCATCTGCAAATTCCTTCGTTTTAACATGGACTTTTGTTGGGAATGATTGACCATCTACTATCATCTGTTGATCACCAGGCCTTGTTTTATAAAGTCTCTTCGCTTATGACTCCCTTGTTTGGTGAATTGTAGACATCTCAAGGCAGCTACTAGGCTCTCATTATAAAGGGAGCAAAAGATAATGCCTCATTATATATATATATATATATATATATATATATTTAAAAATATTAATATCATTTAAAAAAAAAAAAAAAAAATACAAGATTGCCATGAACGTTATTACATGATGATTTTCAATGTGACCAGCATCAAATCAACAAGAGGAGAGTGTGAGAAAGCAGAAGGTTGAACTTTCAATCTCTTTTCCTGCTTGGAAATGTTAATAATGCCAGCGTTGTTGCTCATGGACTTGGAAGGTTCTCACCTTCATCAACCATGTTTATTGTTGATTTCTGCCTCACATTCCCCTCTGCCATCTTTGACATGTGCAAGAGTAGGTATGATTCTGTGGTTTCTGAAATCTTTTGGGGGAAGTTGCTGTTTGTCCCAATTTCTTTCTTTTTTTTCTTTTTCTTTTTTTTTTCTTTTTCTTTATTTTTTTTTCTTTCCTGCTTGGTGTGTGTGAAGGGGTGGGGGAGAAAATCTGGGAGAACACTGCACACAACTAAACTCTTTTCATACTTTTGGCACTTCTATTGAAATTAGTAGAAGATGGAAGGAGTACCTAGACCCCTCCCTCCCGCCCGGGCTGCAAAATGTAAAAGCTGTGTGTAAAATCCCCATTGATTTCAGTTTGAGTTATAGACACATTTTATGTGTGTCTGTGTATGAATGCTGTGTGCATCCTTTTGAATGCATGTTTTTATGTTTATACATATGTTCACTTTTTAGTTTTATGATGGAGATTTTCTTTTAGTAGAAAACAAGAAAATGTTTGGTAGAGTTGAAAGTTCATAGTATAGCATGACCATATATACTAAGTTGGCTTTTTCTTTTCTTTTTTGGTAGACATGAACATTCACTGTTTTCCCTGACCACGTTTTAGTTGGTCTGGTATGCATAGAAATTCAGTTTATCATAACCACGTTTTAGTTGGTTCAAAATTTGTACAAGGAAATTCAAAGTTTACCATGGCTGCCAGTGAGTTGGCTTATTATTATACACACTAACATTTATTTTTACCATAATGTTCTGTACTGGTTGGTTTGGTATGTATATTAGACTCTCTTGTTGATTCAATCCCCAGAAGGAGGGTTGGTTTGGTAATCTGTGATCCTGTACATAATAGTTGTTGGTTTGCTATACTTGAACATTCATTTTACCATTGCATAGCATTGAGGACTGTACTAAGCTTTATGCAATTCAAATAGATGGGGAATCTTAAAATACCAAAACTCGATCTTGGTGGGTTTTGGTATCTTAAAAAAAAAAAAAAATTTAACTTGTTTATTATGAACTGTTTTTCTGCTTGGGACATTTTAAGAAAGCATGAAAAGAAAAAAAAATGTAAAGGAAAGAAACAGATAAAAACTCATAGCCTACCATGACTGTATAAAATCAGTTGTTTTGATGAACAAAAAAATTACCCCATTGTTCTCAATGACTCTATTGATTTGGTATAAATGTGATTGTATTTTTTTTTTCTTTCCATTTTATCCTGTTTGCCATAACCACGTTCTAGTTGGTTTGGTGTTCATGAAGAATTTGTAGGATATGGTAATTTTTACTCCATCTTATTTGCTGTTACTTATACATACTATATTACATGCACGTATATATATATATATATATATATATATATATATATATATATATATATATATATATGAACCAAAAACTACATGTATCCGTGTGTGTATGCTTATGTAAAGAAAAAGTGACATTAACTTCTTTTTTTTAACCAATCCTAAACTGTTGAAAATTTGCTATCAAACTGATATCAATTTTATATGTCATTTTATTCCAGAATTGGAAATCTTAAAAAAATATTTGGAACAATGATTAATTTTAGTTAAATTCCATTAAATAACTTCATTTTTACGTGCGCATAGACACACATATGTGTAAATTGATCTAAATTTT